GTAAACAGGGGAAGAAAGGCATTATCGCTCCTGAGTTCCCTGGAAAAAAAGACATGGTGCCCATTCCACCATGAGTGGTAAAGGAGGCTTTGTATCAATATTTTTTCTGAGTTTCTAGTCCAACCCCCCGCACAATGCAGGCAATTCACAATTACCCCCCCACACACACCCAGTGACCGCTGTTCCATGCCCAGAAGATAACAAAAAAACTCCAGGATCACTGGCCAAACTGGCCTGGAGAAAAATTGTTTCCTGATGCCAAAGTGTTGATTGACATTTCCTTGGGTGTGTAAGAAAGGGCCACAAGAACTAAGCACTGAGGCAACCCTTCCTGCCCTCCCTCTCATGATCTGCCTAAGTTCACAGAACCAGCATTGCTGACAGATGGCCATCCGGCCTCTGTTTGAACACCTCCAAAGAAGGGGAGCCCACCACCTCCCGAGGAAGCCCGTTCCACTTGCTCTGACTGTCAGGAAGTTCTTCCTGATGTTTAGCTGAAAACTCTTCTGATTTAATTTCAACCTGTTGGTTCTGGTCCGACCTTCTGGGGCAACAGAAAACATCCTCTATATGACAGCCCTTAAAGTACTTGAAGATGGTTATCATATCACGGAACTGCCCTGTGTGTTGCCTTGAGCTCCAGGGGGAAAAGAGTAGGACAAAAATACTCTGATTACCGGATAGATTCTTCCGAACCGAATCGTGTCATATAAGGACAATTGGGGGGGGGGGGCTGAGCAGGTACATGGCCATGTGCTCTTGGAAGGAAAGGAAGAATAAAAACTGATAGATTCATCCATTTCCGAAAGGGCAGCAAATCTGATAGATTTAAAACAAAAACTTAAAAATCTGACACTCTGCTTTTTGTGAAAGAAGAATAATGGCATTCCATCTAACTGCAATTTTAGTCTGTTCTCAAGCATTAAGAGATGAGACCGCTGTGTCCTGAAAAGGCTTTAAAAAAACAAAACCTTTTAAATCTTGTAAATAGAATTCTTGTCTTTTGCGTTATTACGCAGTTTGTCATGCACTGAACTAGTGTTTGTTTCCAGTTTTTAATTAGAATGTCTTGTTTTAAGTATCTGCACTGTTTGGCTTCTTACTATTCTTAGCCTAGATGGAAAGCTATTGCTTGCCTTGAGAGAGGAGGAGTCCTGCTGGTGCATCTCTGTGTGAGTCTGTGAATTGCTGCTCCGGGCATGTGTTTACGGGAGACAGGATGGGCCATTTTCTCTGAGGATGGGCAATTAGGCCGCCTCCCTGCGTTAGGCACGCTTGGGTTCTTTCTCGGCTCTTGATGCAAGGCCTCAATAGCGTCTCCTCTCCTCGTGGAGAAGCCTAATTGGGATAGGGTAATCCCAGTGCAGTGAGTCACACAGAGACACAGCAGGGAAACCCCTCTCTCAGTGAACAACCCTTTAAGTATGTCCCTGATAATTGAATTTGTAAGCCTCTTTGGGGGCTAATGTGGTAGAAAGGCAGGATTGCATTTTAAAAATATAATTAAAAAGGCAAAAAAAAACACCCTAAAGTGTTTCAACAATTGGGGTTGAGGCTAAGACTCTAGCTTCCTTTGTAGTTACCTGCTTTTTTTGCACGACCAGTGAAATCCCCATGAATTAGTAAAAATGCAGAGTAAGAGGCGGTATGTAAATTTTTATTTCCCTCGTCTCATTTATAAATTATGCAAAAGTTGAAAACATCTATCACGTGGGGCTGGAAGTATCGTGTAAATGTGCATGGTTTTATGCATCGGCCGGATAAACGATGCAAAACTGGAAGCGTCATGCAAATTTAATTCAGGGTACATAATTTTGCCCGACATAGGTTACCACACATTGAAGCACCTTCTGTAGGCATGGGGAATGTATGCTAAGTTGCAAAAAGTTGCACAATAAAATGATGCAACACCGGCAGTAGTCTGTGACAGGATTCAACTCTGGATGTCGGATTCCAGTCTTGTTTGTTTGTTTGCACATGGACCACGCAAAGCCCTGCCTGTACCATGTACCTGACAGATTCTTTTCCATGTGGCGTACCCTTCTCTTCCGCTGTTGACACTGTGAGATTCTTTGATTTGCATTGTGCCCACCCACGCAGCGTTGGCTTTTGAGTCGAGTGTTGCTTTGAAGAATTTGCCGTACAGATTAATCTTTAAAGTAAAAGAGGCTTCCGAGAAAGCGGCAAAGGGGGATAGATCTTCTGGAGCTGTTCTTGATGCTGTCTCAGTCGAGGAAATGGCAGGGTTGAGCGGACACTTTCCAAATTTTATAACATCAGCTTTGGATCTTTTGTACCAGGCAAAGAGCTTCTGGGTGTCCCAGTCACCCTGCTTTTCAGGACTGGGAGTACTCTTTGTGGCAAGGGCGTGGCCATCTGATTTTCGTACCTGGGGCTCGCCATCTAGATTGGGGCTATGAGGTTAAATTCTATTTATTTCTTGCATTTATATCTCACTTCAAGAAGGTTGAGGTAGCGTATAGAGGGTTATAAGAAGATCTCCCAACTAGGCATTGACCAAACCAAGGCTTGCATAGCTTCTTCAATGCCATTGCATATAGTGCCTGATAATCATACACGGAGTTCTTCCTCCCCGCATCCCCTAAGCAGTGTCTCCAATCAAAATTACTCATAGGTCCTTTCCGCGCTTGGATCTCCTCCCTAGTTTTATCAGAGTTCAACGGGACATAATCTCTTGCATTTATCCCTGGTTATAACAGCATTCGTTTATTCTGGGACAAGTGTAGGATGAAACTGGGGTGACCTCAGTGTCATGTGGAAACAAAAAATACCCCAAGACAGTTACAGGGATGAACTCGAGTGTAGTGTAGAATGTAAAAATACCCTGAGATAATTACAGGGGTGAACTCGCGTGTAATGTAAAATGTACAAATACCCCGAGATAATTACAGGGGTGAACTCGAGTGTAATGTAGAATGTGAAAATACCCCGAGATAATTACGGGGGTGACCTCACGTGTAACGTAGAATGTAAAAATACCCCAAGATAATTACAGGGGTGAACTCACGTGTAGTGTAGAAGGTAAAAATACCCCGAGATAATCACGGGGGTGACCTCATGTGTAATGTAAAATGTAAAAATGCCCCGAGATAATTACAGGGGTGAACTCGTGTGTAATGTAAAATGTAAAAATACCCCGAGATAATTACGGGGGTGACCTCACGTGTAATGTAGAATGTAAAAATACCCCAAGATAATTACAGGGGTGAACTCGTGTGTAGTGTAGAATGTAAGTTCGGGGACAGGGTTGAACCAGGATTTAAGGTCTAGTGCGAAAAGGACCATAGTGATTCTTTTATATCATGTGACCCTCTACCCCTTAATCCCTTTTTTACCCCTAAGCTGGAAATGCCCAGACTCTTTTCTCTAAACTCATAGGGAAGGCGCTCCAACACCTTGATTGCTCTCAGTGTTTTTCAATAGATAGTTCCAGGTGAGTAACAGAAGGGTAAGATTGTAGTCTAGTGGCAACTTAAAGATCAGCAAAATGTCCAGGGCATGAGCTTTCGAGAGTCAAAGCACCCTTCGTCAGATATAAGTCGTTTTATCTGATTTGAGGAGTTTTGACTCTCGGAAGCTTATCCCCTGGAAATCCTGTTTGTCAAAAGCAGGGGTCTCCAACCTTTGTGAGCCTGCGGGCACTTTTGTCAAACTTGGGTCTTGTTTCCCATCGTTTCCATAACTCCCTTCTGATTCTATAGGTCTATTATCCTATTTTATTCTGGTTGGGAGGGGGGAGTCTGTGAGCAGGTGTGTGGGTGTGTAGCTGCTTTTCTGGAGGTTCCGCTAGCTTGTAACTGTGTATATGCGGGGCCTCCCATCTCTGGGAAGAATGCGTGCTTGACCTTGGATGCCAGACACTGCTGGATTCTAAGCTTGCAGGTGCTGGGGGAGGGTTAACGGTGCACAGTAGATTTTGGCGGGCTGAATGTATTGGTGTGATTGGACTGGTCACTGGTCACAAGGGGCGGTGGAGTGTTTGAACTATGTATAATACCAGGGAGTCTGTTCTGACACAGATTGTCTTAGCTTGAAATATCTTCATCTCTCAATAAGCCAATCACTGCCATGAGAGTGTTGTTGGGAGTAATTTTGCTCAAGAGTCTGACAACTTTTCAAATTCTGACGTGAGGTGATGGCCACCAGGAGAGACAAAGTCACACCCAAAGAAAGCCAACTGCAGAGGACAAATTTTTTAAAAATACACTGGAAAAGAAAAATGAGAGAGAAGAAAACCAGCACTGTAGTGAGAGCTGCCACCGAAACAATGTTATTGTAATCTGCCCAGCCAATCAGAAGCCCTGCTAGGCAGGAACCCCCACCTGGCCATGCCCACTTTTTAAGAACACCCAGGCAGGCACCAGGAACGGTGCTGGTGGGCCCCACTTTGGGGATGCTTGGTCTAAGGTGCTACTGGCTCAAATCTTGCTCTTTGCGCGGACTGTAATCTGGGAGAACTGGGTTTGATTCCCCTCTCCTCCACTTGCACCTGCTGGATGACCTTGGGCAAGCCATAGTTCTGGCACAGCTGTTCTTGGAAAACAGCAGTTTCTGTCTGAGCTCTCTCAGCCCCACCTACCTCACAGGGTGTCTGTTGTGGGGAGCGGAAGGGAAAGGAGTTAGGGCGTAGTGAAAGGTAATGAAGGGCGGGGTATAAATCCAATCTCCTCCTCCTCCTCCTCCTCCTCCTCTTCTTCTTCATAGATGATGTACCCGTGGAGTTTATTCTGGATTTTCTGGGGAACACAAGGGGGGAGGTACGTGAGAAATTCAAGATGGAAGCACCCAAAGGGCCTGAAGCAATTGACTGTAGCCTCCATTCAGAATTTACTCAGATGTCACTAGAAAAGCCCCCTGCCTTGAAGGGAAGCTGCCGCAGCAAAAACTGAGAATGTGTAACTGTTCTTTCTTTGAGTCATTGTCCTCCCCCCCCTTCGTAATGTTTCTGAGCATGTGAAGGTGTATTTGCTTTGTTGCAGAGATTCTCCATGACAACGACCACCTGTACCTCTTTCTTTTGATATGCGGCCTGAGAAGAGTCAAAGATCCACTGTATTTGGTGGATGCTTTTTCAGGTTGGTGCCCTTGGCTTCTCTCAAGACAATTCCCCCCCTCCCCCTTGTGACCTTGAATCACAGTAAACCTGGAATCTGAAATTGGCTCTCCTGCCGGGAGGTTTAACCTTAAAAAACAGACGGGGAGGGAAAGACGGGATTTGAACGTGCGTCATAATGTGGAGGTGGTGAGCTCCCCCCCCCCCCCACTGGCAGTCTTTAAGTAGTGGCCAGACAAAGACTTGTCAGGGATGCTGTAGGCTGGTCCTGCATTGAGCAGAGGGTTGGACTAGATGGCCTGTATGGCCCCTTCCAACTCTGGGATTCTATGATAGGTCAGATTTGGATAAACATACAGAGCAGAGGTCCATCAGTGTCTATTAGCCACAACATATTGATAGGAACTCTCCGTCGGGAGGGAGTGATGCTCTGTCTTCTTGGTGCTTGGGGGGGGGGGGCAACAGTGGGAGGGCTTCTGGAGTTCTGGCCCCACTGGTGGACCTCCTGATGGTGCCTGGTGTATTTGGCCACTGTGTGACACAGAGTGTTGGACTGGATGGCCCATTGGCGTGATCCAACATTGGCTTCTCTTCTGTTCTTATGATTCTATGGAGAAGGCAATTCTTCCACTTTGTTCCCTTGCCTGTTAGAAATCATTGTCCTCCTGAACTAAGTCGGACCGACGTGTTCGTTGCATAGGTGTAGTTCAGCTGTTATGGAGTCAAGGCATAGGAGAGCAGGCTTCAAATTCCCAACTATGAAACCCTCCTCCCTACAACCCTGCAAGGCAGGAAGCTTGAAAGGGTATGTGTGACTTGGCCCAGTCGCACCTATACTTTCAGCAACCTACCTTGCAGGGTTGTCGGAAGGATACAACGGGGGAGGGGGAGACTGCCCTGAGCTCTTTAGCAAATGGGGTGGGATCAAATTGTGGTTAAGACTGCAGTGGGACCTGATGGGGGGGAAAGGATACCTGCGTGACTCTTGCTGCAGGCCCCCCCCCCCGGGCTAATTATAAGTCAGGGAAGGGGGATTCTACCACAAAAAGGCCACAGGAGAAATCTTTATTCAGCCTTTCAAGCTCTGCTCCAGTCCAAATCACAACTACCTATCTCCTGCATGAAGGCTTGCCAACCTCCAGGTGAGGCCTGGAGATCACCTGGGATTGCAATAGATCTTCACACTGCCGCGATAAGGTTCCCTGGAGGTAATGGCAGCTTCAGAGGGTGGACACTATGGGATATGTATCTTGACTGTGTTCCCTCCCCTCTCCAAACTCCACCCTCCTCAGGCTCCACCTCCAACTCTCCAGGCGTTTCCCAACCAAGGGTGGGCAACCCTGCCTACATGGCTCACTGAGAATTTAGGCAGATAAGAAAGAACATAAGGGGAGCCATGTTGGATCAGGCCAATGGCCCATCCGATCCAACACTATGTGTCACACAGTGGCCAAAACCCAGGGGCCATCAGGAGGTCCACTGGTGGGGCCAGAACCCCAGAAACCCTCCCATTGTTGCTGCCCAAGCCCCAAGAACACAGAGGATCTCTGCCCCAGAAATAAGAACACAAGAGAAGCCGTGTTAGATCAGGACAATGGCCCATCCGGTCCAACACTCTGTGTCACACAGTGGCCAAAACCCAGCTGCCATCAGGAGGTCCACCAGTGGGGCCAGAACTCCAGAAGCTCTCCCACTGTTTCCCCCTCCAAGCACCAAGAAGACAGAGCATCACTGCCCCAGACAGAAGAACCTAAGAGAAGCCATGTAGGATCAGGCCAATGGCCCATCCAGTCCAACACTCTGTGTCACACAGTGGCCAAAACCCAAGGGCCATCAGGAGGTCCAGCAGTGGGACCAGAACCCCAGAAACCCTCCCACTGTTGCTGCCCAAGCCCCAAGAACACAGAGCATCTCTGCCCCAGAAATAAGAACACAAGAGAAGCCATGTTAGATCAGGACAATGGCCCATCCGGTCCAACACTCTGTGTCACTCAGTGGCCAAAACCCAGCTGCCATCAGGAGGTCCACCAGTGGGGCCAGAACTCCAGAAGCCCTCCCACTGTTGCCCCCAAAGCTCCAAGAACACAGAGCATCACTGCCCCAGACATAAGAACACAAGAGAAGCCATGTTGGATCAGGCCAATGGGCCATCCAGTCCAACACCCAGCTGCCATCAGGAAGTCCACCAGTGGGGCCAGAACTCCAGAAGCCCTCGCACTGTTGCCCCCCAAGCTCCAAGAACACAGAGCGTCACTGCCCCAGACATAAGAACACAAGAGAAGCCATGTTGGATCAGGCCAATGGCCCACCCAGTCCAACACTCTGTCACACAGTGGCCTAAACCCAGCTGCCATCGGGAAGTCCACCAGTGGGGACCAGAACTCCAGAAGTCCTCCCACTGTGGCCCCCAAAGCTCCAAGAACACAGAGCATCACTGCCCCAGACATAAGAACACAAGAGAAGCCATGTTGGGTCAGGCCAATGGGCCATCCAGTCCAACACCCAGCTGCCATCAGGAAGTCCACCAGTGAGGCCAGAACTCCAGAAGTCCTCGCACTGTTGCCCCCCAAGCTCCAAGAACACAGAGCGTCACTGCCCCAGACATAAGAACACAAGAGAAGCCATGTTGGATCAGGCCAATGGCCCACCCAGTCCAACACTCTGTCACACAGTGGCCTAAACCCAGCTGCCATCGGGAAGTCCACCAGTGGGGACCAGAACTCCAGAAGTCCTCCCACTGTGGCCCCTCAAACACCAACAATACAGAGCATCACTGCCCCAGATCAAAAGAGGGAGGGCTGGAAGGGATGAGCCAGTGCGTGGCTCTTGTGGCCCTTTCTTCTATGCCCAGGGTAATGCCAATTGATCGTGTCTTTGGGGTCAGGAAGGAGTTTTCCCCCAGGCCACATTGGCCCAGGTTTTTTGCCTTCCTCTGGGCATAGAGCAGGAGTCACTGAGGGGGGGGGGTCGCTGAGAATTTCCAGCATTGGAGTTCCTTCCAGATCTAGGTTTCTATGCCAGTTTTTCTATGTTTTTAAAAAAATCCCCTAAATTAGGCAATCCAGTAATGGATCAACAGATTATTAAGCCGTTTGCTATATGTTCTTTCCTCCACTGCAGAAAACGTCATCGTTTTCTCCCCACCCCTGTCTCTCTCATATATAGAACTTATTCACAGACATGTACAGACATTGATCTGAAAGGCTCCGTTATTTCAAATGTATATTTTCCCTTGCCTGCTGGGAATAGTGCAGCTCTGCAATCAAGGCAAAATATTGGCTGGGTGTTTTCAGTTTGGGAGAGTAATTATTTTGCTCTCAGCATGAAGGTAGCATTTGCAAAAAAAACACAGCTAGGAAACACTGAAAAGAGGTTTGGGGAAGGGGTATTCTGCAGTGGTTATTCACATAATTTTGGGGTGTGCCATACCTGCCCTGACATGGGTGGTCCCGGCTACCTGATCTTGTGAAATCTTAGAACCTAAGCAGAATCGGCCCTGGTACGTTCTTGGATGGGAGACTTCCAAAGAATACCAGGGTCGTGACAGAGAGGCAGGCAATGGCAAACCACCTCTTATCAGCTGTGATTTGACAGCAACCCCCCCCCCATACCTCTTGACCTGCCCATAGAATCATAGAGTTGGAAGGGACCTCCAGAGTCATCTAGTCCAACCCCCTGCACAGTGCTGAGGCTAAACTGTATTATTATTGTTCCATCCTGAGACTGAATTGTATTAGTGTTGTTGTTGTTGTTATTGATAATAATAGTAACAATAATAATGACAATGAAAATGTGAGTTTTGAGCAGGGAAGAGGGTGGATTTCAAAAGCTTTGGGGTTTTATTTGAATATCCTCTCTCTGATTTTGTTTTCACTTTTGTGAGAAATGAGCCAGGTATTCTTTGGCTCAGTTCAGACAGAACCCCAAACCAGGGCTTGTTTTTAAAGTCTTGGGCTTCATGAGTCTATTTGCCTTAGATTTTCCCAACAAATGTTATTTGTTTCTCTTGTGACCAGAACTCTCTTCCCTTGTTTGATAGATTGGCACAGAAAGGAAAGCTCCGTACATCTGATTATCATCGGACCTGCAGTAAGTTTTTCATGAAATCTCTCTCTCTCTCTCTCTCTCTCTCTCTCTCTCTCTCTCTCTTTTTCAAGGAACAAGTTGTTTTCATGTGGTTTTCCAAACTGGTGTTATTAAACCAAGTCTAGAAAGGAGCTGCGGTGGCTCAAGTGGTTAAGACGCTGAACTGCAGGCTGTGGGAGGTCAGTAGTTCAGCAGTTCGAGACCCGGGTGCCGCATGACGGAGTGAGCTCCCGTCTCTAGCTCCAGCTCCTGCCAACCTAGCAGTTTGAAAGCAAGAAATTGCAAGTAGATAAATAGGTACCACTTCGGTGGGAAGGTAACAGCGTTCCGTGCGCCTTAGTGTTTAGTCATGCGGCCACACGACCACGGAAACGTCTTCGGACAGCGCTGGCTCTTCGGCTTTGAAACGGAGATAAGCACCGCAACCCTAGAGTCGGACTCGACTGGCTTTCGAGCAAGGGCACCTTTACCTTTTTAAAGGTAGACAACTGCATTGAATGAGGCAGCCTTTGATCCATTTGCTCAATATTGTCTGTTCTGGCTGGCAGCAGCTCTCCAGGGTCTCAGGCCAAAGAAGGTCTTTTTCAACACTTTCTCATGGCGATGCTGGGGATTGAACCTAGAACACTGTGCCTGCAAAGGGCTTTGTCTACCGCCAGCCTTTACCCCCCTCTCCAATACCGTGTCAGCCCATTAGTACGTCTCACTCAGCGGTCTCTCTTCTGATTGGCAACACATCTCCAGGGCAGAGGAAGGTTTCCCCAGACATCTGAGCTTCTTTAGTGATACTTAGGCCCCTAAGAGAGAAGCAAGAAGGCCAAGGCTGATGGTGTTAGAAGTGGAGGACTTGGCGCTGTCTCCTGTCTCAGACTTGAGAAGATGGCACCAAAGCGTTTAGACCAGGGGTCATTTAGTAGAAAAAGAGGTGCAGGAGCTCATTAGCATAACTCATTACCATAACTAATTTGCATATGCCACACCCCCTGGCATCACCGGAAGTGTGTCAGAAGGCAACACCCACCGCTCAGGCTCCACTGGACTCTTTTGGATTGCTAGCTATTGGGGGGGGGGGAACGTGGAGATCTGTCCTCGCAGAGGAGGGAGAGCTTGTACCTGAATAAAACCTGGTCTTAAAGCTGCCACTG